AAATCTCCACTTTTCCAGTGGGAAGCCATTCCCTGTGTCCCGTCCCTCCATGCCTTGTCCCCAGTCCCTCTCCAGCTCTCCTGGAGCCCCTTTAGGCCCTGCCAGGGGCTCTCAGCTCTCCCTGGAGCCTTCTCTTCTCCAGGGGAACCCCCCCAGCTCTCCCAGCCTGGCTCCAGAGCAGAGGGGCTCCAGCCCTGGCAGCATCTCCGGGGCCTCCTCTGGACTCTCTGAGATCATGAACATACCCAAATGCCATCCCTGAAATAACTTCTGTCCTCTTTAAACCGCTCTTGATTCTTTGAAACAATCTTCACCATCTTTATGTCATGTAGGAATTCCCAGTGTACTGATATCCACAATGAAGAATTCCCAGTCTATTGATATCCATAATGAAGTTGGGATTAGCTCAGCTGCACTTCTTAGGTCTTTACAATAAATAATTTTTCCAGACAGGAAACAGTGGACTGGAATAGCACAGGTGACTGTTGGCACCTCCAGTGCTTTGTCTGCACCTCATTCCAGTTTATTCATTCGCCCATTAAGTTCTTTTATTCCAAATTCTCCTGGAAACTTTGTGTACTGTTGGGGTCTTGAATATTTAGATTCTCCCTCCTCTTCTAAGTATGAGTTTTAAATGCTTCACAGATCCATGCTCAGCTGCTGGGCTGCTTGGACAGCCTCATTCCAGAGGGGGTATTGTTGCATGTGCCGTTTCTTATGGAGATGGGATGGGCCCTGTCTGCGTTCCCTGGATTAGAACACATCCAAACATTGGAGTTCCATCTCCAACCCCACGACACACTTTGCCTTCCACCCGTGTTCATGTCCTTACCCCACTCTTAATTCGGTGTTAAGCTTGGTTTTATCCAGCTCTCCTTACAGGATCTCTTCCCTCCCCCTCCTGCTCTCCTTTGCTTGGGTACCTGAACCATCTCCTGCCCTTTTGTTTTCATTTGCTGAGCTCTGGCACAGCTTGACTTGTGGCACTTCTTATTTTACATCTCCCTGCTCCTTGCTGGCTTTGAAGCCAGTGCTAATGAATCCTTTCCTGTCCATAATTCAGAGGCTCTTTAATTGATCCTGTTGTCCTTTTTTTGAGGTTAGTTCTGAGGGTGCAGCTCTCAAATAGCTTTGCATCTTTGACCTGAGAGATGGCAGCTTTCCCATCCCTCATCTCCTCAGCCCACTTGATCTTACTGTTTGATTTAATTCCTCCCAGTTAAAGAGTTGAACTTGGGCTCTCTTACATCACTTGACCTCTTTTTATCCCTTATTTAATTGGAATGTGCTTGTGTGCACTCAATCCAAGGGAATGTTTTATCACCAGCTCTTCTCTATGCCTTTGTTACTTGCCAAAACAAAGCCTCAAATAGCACCAGCTCTTACTCACCGAGACTTCTTCACCCTTTTTGTGGAGCCTGGCAGTGATATCACATCCAGGAACGTGTGGTCCCTTGGGATTTCTCTTCGCTTCTCAGCTAAAAACCAGGACTCAGTGTGTCCTTCCAGGCCTTGTGCAACATTCCATGGTGGATTGAACTTCCCCGAGTTCCAGTCTCTGTTCCCACCTGTCCTTTCCGTGCCTCTTCCTTATGTGCTTTCCCTATTTTTTTTTTCCATTTTTGAGAAGTCTTGGCTCTCTGGAGTTTCTCTTCAGGAGTTAAATCATGGGATGGATTTTTGGGACAAAGATTTTTTGAGGAAGTGCCCAGAGAAGCTGTGGCTGCTCCATCCCTTGAATTGTCCAGGCAACCTGGCATAGTGGAAGATGTCCCTGCTCATGGCAGGGGGTTGGAATGAGGTGACCCTTAAGGTCCATTCCAACCTAAGCCATTCTGTGATTCCATGATTTTAAGACTTCCCAGCACTCAGTCCTTGACTCATCCCGTGCTCTGTTCCTCTCAGGAATAGTTTTGCCTCAGATCTCTCGCATATTCCACCTCTCATTTCTTTTTTCCAAGGTGTTCATCCCTTATTTCCCTGCAGAAAAAGCTCCCCATTGCCATTGGGCTCAGCCCTTCGGGGCAAAGTGGTTCCTTAATTAACTCAGGATACAAACTGATCCCTGATCTCCCAGCCTGACTCCTGCAGTTTTCCTCACTGTTAAACTCTCTCACTGCTACAGAACGTTTCAATTCCCCTTTGGAGTGGTTTTAATAGCAGGAATGTGATGGAATCTGGGAAACTCTGCTCCTGCCAGGCTGCTGGGAATGATTCTGCCCCAGCTCACACGTGTGTTTGGGTTGTTCCTGGGCAGGGCAAAACGTCCAAATCGTAATTTTTTTTTTTTTTTCTTTGCTTGCATATTCCAGTAACCAGTCATTTTGCACACACTCATTTCTCCTGGCTCGTTTTCAATTTCAGCACAACAAATGTATGTAAACACGACTTTTATAAAAATCCTGCAATCCACATTATTTTATTTTTTTTTTAAATAGCAGAAACCTTATCCTGAAGCCCTTGATTGAAATCTGCCTGCCTTTCCCTCTCCTTGCCTGTTCAGATCTGCGCTTGGAAAGTATCAATGCTCTTTTGTGTCAGAGATGTGTCCCTGCCAGTGCTCCATTCTGGCTCTTTTTCCCCCCTCTTTCCTTGCTCCACCTCTTTTCCAAACCGCTCCAGTTCATTCCTTTCCTCGGCTATATTGGTTTAGGATGTCTCTCCCTGCCTGTTTAGTGTCTTGAAGTGACTATTTAGTGGGAGGAACCAGAGCAGCAAAAATGCAGAAGGGCTTCAAAGTGCAGCAAAGCTCTTCCTGAGGAAGGGGATTCCCTGAAAGCCTTACCTTGCCAAGCCTCCCTGAAAATTCCAGGTAAGGTCTTGTCACTGCAGCTGGATATTTCCTTGCTCTGCTTTGTTTGCTGCAGGCTTTGGCCACACTGAATTCC